TCTCTAACGACCAAGATTGATAATGTCTTCGTATGTCTTCACAGTAATAAATGTAATAAATCATGACTATTCTCATTTTCATTCCGTTTTCATACTTAAACCTCCATTCAGGATGAATAAAGACGCGTTTGACCTTGAACTTTATTATATGAGGAATTATCCAAAACATGGTAGGAACACTATTTTTTATCATAGTGTATAATTAGTAGTTAAATTTATATTAGATTATAAAACTTTTAGTTTTAACAATCATAAAGCCCATTATTTACCTATACATATAAGTAGACTTAATTTTTAAAATAAAGCAGAATGCTTATTCACTAACTGATTACTAATAGATTTAAAATCAATTAAACAAAACTTACCGATTCAATCATTATATAAACAGAACATCACTTAAAATTCACAAAAAAGGTTTTATATTTTCCCTAAAAGTAAATTAAGAAAAACCCTCTTTTTTCAGATATTTCGTAGAATTATTTCGTTTTTTAAAAGATCGTTTTGAATTTAGAATTTCATTTGGCGCGAATTTCAGGTCGCTTTGGATATAGGATGACGTCCGCAGCATCCGCTATCTCATGAAAAACTGGCGGGAAACATGATGGCGGGAAGACTACAGACTAATAAACGATAATATACAACTGATTGAGATATCAGACGTCAAATTACACTTATGAATGTATATATCCTAACATTTATAAAAATCTATTTTGTGCTAGATTAATGTGTGGAGATATTATAATAGATCGATGTTAATGTTAATAAATTAAGCAAATGTAATTAAGGCACGAATGAGGTAGGTTATTGTATAAGATATTTATATCTTAAATAGTAAGCACCTTCATTTATAAACACACGACAAATCTGCTAAGCTATCTAATGATATTTTTGATTTATAATTATTTGTAAATCAAAAAAATAAATATATACGTGTAACCGAAAATACATTCCACATTCATATAATCATTATGATCTTTTTAAGTTTAACGCAAGAAAAAATCATTATAAAAAAATAATAAATTATTTGAAAACATTAACATTAACCCACTATCTAAATATAAGTGTAAAAAATGGTTACTACTTGGCCGAAGACGTTGAGTTATGATGAAACAGAAGATTTAATAACTGTTACTCTGTAACACACCCACTCCATACATATACACACACTCACGCACGCACACACACACCCAGAGAGAGAGACACACACACACGCGCGCGCGCAAACACACACACACACTCACACATACACACACACTCACGCATACACACACCAAATTTATTTTTACGACTCCGTTTGCAATGTTTTCTTTTAGCACTTACATATTTTCTTCTATTGTATCTTATGACAATGACCTGATTGTACGTGTTCCGGTCCGGTGGTGGAGAGGCTGGCTATCTTTCACTCAGGTCTCCTGTTACACATATGTTGTATCTCACATACACTTCCTAATGTTATCATCTTAGTTTAATCATAATAACCTTGTATGTGAGAGAAGAAATAAATATTATTATTATTATAAGAATACTTAAGTTATTACAATTGTTGCCAAATTTATGGTCTAAATACTCGCACAAGCTATAAAGGCACCTTGCCTTTAAAAGTTTAATCACCTTCCCCTTGAAAGCATTACACGGCAGTGATCTATAACTTCTAGGAAGGTGATTAAATAGTTTGATAGCCATGACGTATATTGTTTAAGCTTAAATTTAAGAACAACACGATGTGAAGTGATTATTTTTATAAAGCGTTTACACTCCATTTTTTGCCTTAATTATAAATAGGTATACAGCCCAGTTGATTTTATTAAAACCAAGTTATTTATATAAATCCCCTTACAAAATCATTCGTTTCTCTAATGTGATTAAACCCGTATTTCCAGGTGAGTCGCATTGGATTTTCACAATTGAAATTATTCCGAGCTGAGCCAGCATTAAAACTTGCAGACAAAAGACATTCAGAAATTTCATGGTAACTGCAGTTGATGTATTTTTAATTAAAATATCTTCCTATTAATCACTACATGTTAAAGTTAAAACTTTGTTATATGAAACCAAATTGAATATTGTCAAAATTTTTGGACTGATCAAGATATGTAAGTATGATTTTGTTTGAAAGGAAGAACATATTTAAGTAGTAAGTATAAATTTATAATTGTAATTGTAAAAATATACCGATACCCGAATGTTGCAATGGGATTTTTGATCGCAGAATTAAATTTTGGATTCCACTATTAATTTGTATGACTTTCAGGAAATGATAATAGAAAAAACAGACCTAAGAGATAATTAATGCATAAAAGGTTATTGGACCCTAGCTTGAAGTGTTATGATAAACAATAAACTACAAGCTCCCTCCTTATTAGAATGCCAAATCGTAAAATGAATGCTTCACGACTGATTTGAGCGCGACCGCCGCTGCGAAAACCGCCGTGCGAGTTCGAAAAGTGAGTTACAGCATCGCAAGGCAGTTGTAGAACGACGGACGTCGAGGTGGTAGGGGTGGAATTTCGAATTATACTTAGACGACCGATGATGAAACTCGGCTGCAAGTATTAATTCGAACCACTCCTCTGAACACTCCATGGTAAAATCTGTACGCAACGCCAAGTGATCAATGCCGCTCGGAAAGTGACTGGTTGTCAACGAATCGAACCGCTCTTTGTTGAATATTGTTAAGTGGAACTATGTACTATTACTCTTCTATGGACGGGAGCTCCACAGTATTTAGTGGCGATATGGGGCTGAATTTGCGCTTTATACAAGTTGCAAGTCTCACCTTGCTGTGCATACGAAGCTTCTTGGAGGCTAATGAGAAGGAACTGAACGTCGTTTAATATGTCAACGCGAAGTATTCCGATGCTGGCTGGGCTTTAAGAAGAATTTCTTCGAAGTAGCGACACAGGGTTCTATTTAGCGAAAAACGTGCAAACTTGTGTCTTCTTGGGGTTAAATTGGACTTGATTGTGTCGACCCCAATCGGAGACTATTTGTAGCGGGGACTTCAAACACAAATTTGGTCAGGTACTGATCGACAATTGCAAGTGTAAAGAGTCCCCCAGTGCTGTGAATGAATGTTGCTTAGTTGCAACAGAAGAAACATAGTCGGGGTTAGGACTCAGCCTTGTGGGACGCCAGCGTTCACAGGCTTCGGTCGGAACATGCTCCATAAATGACGACCTTGATGGAATGGATATGGATAGGTGGAAATCCGGTTGAATAATTTCTTCTGGATATCCTAGGGTTTTTAAAAAAATATTATTATAGCAGATGTGTCACATTAATTTTTTATTAAAAAAAATCAGTGGCGTTACAACCTTTTAGGTCTGAGGCTCAGATCTCTGTATCTGTTTCGTGATCACTTGTTTATTCTAATAGGCAAGTAGGTGATTTGCCTGACACAGGCCAGGCCGATGATTTTAGGTCGAATGCATGCCGGGTTTCTACGACCTCAGGGATGAGAGTCGCACTCTGAAGCCACTTGGGCAACAAGGCGCCTAGTTATATTATAATATAGACCTCGCTTATAAATAATAGTACGGGAGGTAGCAACGTTTGAAAAGAAAGAATTTTAGGTCAGCTGATTTTGTGATATGTCTTCCTTCTTGCACTTTCGGTTAGAGTCTGGGCAATCTGGCTGGCGGTAGCAGTTGCGTTCATTAGTGCGCATCCTATCTGTCCAGGTAATAATCCTGGATTTTAAAAGCATTTTAAGAAGCGTAATTTTTAATTTTTCGTTTTTAAATACGTCTACCTGACATACTTTTTTTATTGCCAGACATTTTTCACATTGCTAACTATGTGCCAGACGCGACTTTAAGTTTTTATTTTATAAAAATTTCAAAGTATTTTAGAATGTCTGTAATTTTAATATTATGTTATTTAAATATAAGAAAAGCTAAAAATGAATTTGCCAGACATTAATTCGATTGTTAAGCCTTGAATTAAAATGAAAAAGTCATGAAATGTATTGCAGTCTATGATGAAGCATTGCATTTTAAGAAGCTTACCTTCGGTGATCGGACGAGAACCGGTGTATTCAACGTGGTATGGACGTTGGCGATAGCTAAATCGAAAATGTAAAATATAACAACTATAGCCAAAAGTGTCGTTACAATTTTTGGTTTTAATTTATTCCGTCTAGCCCCCTTTTGCAACGCTCGATAACTTCGTTCCAACAAGACTAATTTAGTTACGTGATTCCAGATTTTCATTTCTTATACCTACAAAAAAAAGCCAACATCATGAGGTGTTCTCAGGCGGTCACCCATCCAAGTACTGACCTCGCCCGACGTTGCTTAACTTCGGTGATCGAACGAGAACCGGTGTATTACAATAGCAAATAGCAAAAAAGTGTCGTGACAACTTTTCGTAAGAATTTTTTCCGTCTAACCCCCTTTCACAACGCGCGATAAGGAACTTCGTTCCAAAAATATACAAAATACACAATTTAGAGAATAAAGTGTGCATATTATTGTGTTAGTTTAAAACTTTTAGGACTTTGAAATTCGGCTCTAGTAACAAAAATACTTTAATAGTTACCACACAATATTCGCGATTCGAATATAATTGCATAGATGGCGTGAAATTCAACTTTACTCTAATTGTCCTCTGAATACATTTACTATTCTAATTTAATAAAACAGATGGAGCTTAACTAAAAAAATAATTTATTACTCGGGGTTGGTTAACAGTTCTTAGAAAAATATGTAGATGGCGCTAAGAGTAAATCTAAAGTAATTAACAGAGCACCTAATTTCGCCAAACAATATTCACAAATATCTGTTTTAGTTATAGATAACAAAATGCAAAAATTATGACTAATAGCAAATGATTATAGAAAATTGTCGAAGACAATACACGATTTTGTATTTGTAAGTCGTATTCATAATAAGATTACACATTAAAATATGTTTTAAATAATAAATGAGCCGCCGATCTTAATGTATAAGCTTTTATGATTTTGATTGGTATTTAAAATAAAAGACGCTGTATTTATAATATCACTGTAATTCTCCACAATTACTAATTATCACTTTCGCACTGACAGTCCCACTTTTGCTTCCATATCGCTCCATTTTCTTTAACACGTCAAGACCTGACACCACATGACCAAATACAACATGTTTATCATCCAGCCACTCTGTTCTGGAACAAAAATTGTTTATTATTACCAAGCCCCTCAGTCCTACTCTATAATACATCTCATAGCCAAATCTAAGGTATTATTGGTGTATACTGTATATCACTGAAGAATCTTATACAAACTTCTTATACCCCTTACAACAAAATCAGTCTAGGTTTTCAAATAAAGCTCTCTTAGATAACTCTACTCTCTGTCAAATTGTGTTTACACTGTGATAAAAGAAGACACATGAGTCATTTAGTTAAAATGGTGCAATAGGACTGGTTTAATTTCCTTATATACAAAAATTATTGTCAAAGAAATAAGGTGTTCTATTAAAAACAGGAAGCCCTATTTCTAAATTAAAATTATTTATTGGTCATTCCACTTCTTACATGCCTATAAAACATATGGATCTAATATTCTAAAGGGGCCTCTATATGGGCTTCACTATTAATGAAATATGTAGCTACATCATTGCTGACTATAGCCCGAAAATACATGAAAACATTTTAATGCAGCACATAGCTGAAAAATTTATATCTCGGCAATATTTCTTCAACAGTATATTGCTTATTATTTGTCTTTACACGGTCTACATACATGGCTTGGCTAGTATCTATGGCTGCAATAGCGGATGAACTCATACGCGTTCAGCAGCTTATATTGTTTTAAAAGCAAAGTCAAAACTAAGAAAAGTGTGGATTCAACCTTATTTCAATAGGCGTGAAATATTAGATATTTTAAGTCTCAAATTAAGACTCGAACAATTATTTAAAAACTTAACACGAATGTCAAAGAAATTGATCACATTATTTACAAGATTAGACCAATGATACCAAAAGATACTAACATGAGAAAAGCTATACCTATTGTTACAAGATTAGCTATAACTCTACGATCTTTAGCATGAAAAAGGGATGCACTTAGGCCGTAAAGCGAGACAGAAATAATATGGCTGAGAAATATTGCAGGAATTTTCGATTGCAAAGCGATAGTTACGGCCATAAATATTGCCGAGTATTGCACAGTCGTAAATGCTGGCTGACGCTACCGGCCAGACTCTTGCATCTATACATTTTCGTGAAAAAATGGCCCGTCTAGGAGCCCCTTAACGGGTGGAGTTGTTTAAATCTATATAAAAGTACCTGGTTTTATTATATTGATTTAAAAAAGAAATATGAGAACATACTTGGCTGTACAAAGGAAGAACTGAGATCCATTACTATTGGGTCCTGAGTTGGCCATACTCAATATTCCAGGACCTGTGTGTTTCAATATGAAATTTTCATCTTCAAACTTTCGGCCATATATTGATTTGCCTCCAGTACCATTATTGTTTGTAAAATCACCCCCTTGACACATCTGATACTTTGTTAAGGAATTTAAAATAGATTTCCATTCAAATACATTGTATCTATAGACTACTACTATACAAGAGCTACATACATACTGGTTACCTATGTAACCATATGTATGTATGTTACCATAACCACCTAAAATATGTAAATTTTAAAATACATATAACTATGCTGAAAGCAATAAACACCATAACAATATGCAATTGAATGTAATAATGAAAGGGTAGTGATAATAGTAGTACAGACTTTAATGTATTATAATATACAAAAAAGCTAAGGTTCAAATGTTAATTCAAATGTAAGTTAGGTCGGAGCTAATTTTAAATTGAAGAATATTGTGTAGAAAAAACTGAGACCTTTGACTTTTTTACTTATAATATGTCATTCCCCCGAGGACAAAGTCGTAAAGGACTTTAACAACTGTTTAAATGTTTTCTCATTTGTGACTTATTCTACAGAAATTATTTTGTGCAAAATGTTAGTATAGTAAATAAATAAATAGATAGAACAACCATAATAATAGTTTTAGTTTAGATTGTAATTCTACAAAATATACATACAAGTTAATGCAACAGTTTAAAAACAATTACAGAATGGTAATAAATTAGTACATTTTTCACATTTCGTCAAATTGTAGATTCGTCAAAACTATTTACACTAAATAAATAACAACAATGATTGTTGAATAAGAAAAAATATAGCTTTCATTTGATATAATTATATATTTGTATATGTAATGTACTTACTATACCATTAATATTACCATTACCTTCTTTTATTTTTCCTGAAAAAATGGACATTGTTCTCTGGGGCAAGCAATGTATTAAAATATTTAAAATTAAACCATTAAAAAGGATACAAAGTCAGGAATAATCCGGTGAATCGCACTACCCTGATATCCAAAGCCTTTTTCGTGTGTGCACAGAACTCTGAAATTTTCTGCTGTCTTAGGTACAATGTCAGGTCGGAGCATCATTATTATTCTGCCTATTTCTTGTTTTCCAACACTTATATCAAAATATACTTGTGGATTCTTTTTCTCTGTTGGCTTTGCGGGTATAGGCTGAAATTTAAAATATTTATCAATAAGCATTATGAATGATCACTTCAGTATATTTTAGATAGAGAGCTGAAAATGATAAAGGTACAGACTATACCAAATTCTCATACTTTTGTTTTATATTATGTAATAACATACACTTATTTTATAATGTATACAGTCAAAACCGTTTATAACGACATCGTTTACAACGACCTATCGGTTATTACAACCAGATTGTATGGTCCCGTCCGAATCCCTAGTAAACTGTTCAGTAAAGAAACCGCTTATAACAACATCGGATACAGCGACATATCGCTTACAACGACGAAAGTTTATCGATATTCATCGGATATAACGACCAACCGCTTCTTGTCTCAGTAAAACAAAACAATACAAACGATTTTAAATTTTATTTATAAGCATTGAATGAATATTTAGGCATATTATTACCTACGCACTTTCTCCCAACGAATAGTTTCAGCCAACAACGATTTCCGAGGCTCTTAACGCTGTAACGATTTTGCAAAAATTTGTTGCCTTTAACGAACAGTTTGATACTGGTGATACTCATACCTTGAGGAGTATGAAACGTAAAATGCAAAAAATATTTGAGACTGGGCTAAAAAAAACAGACTGACTGATTACTTTTGTACCTAATTATTTCGTAATAAATATTTTTGTTTCTTTTTTGACTCGTTTACATATTATAATATTAACATACCATATTATAACCCATACCTACCTATTCTAGATCGATAACTATGTACATACATATGTACTGTACTTGTGTATATGACATTGCTTATAACGACTATCGGATATAACGTCGGCAACTATACGGTCCCTTCAATGTCGTTATAACCGGTTTTGACTGTATATACATAATATTTTAAAAGTACATACAGTGCTCTCTGTATCCATCTTTTCTTCATTATCCTTTTCTTGAGCATCCTTATCAACATCAAGAGTCTCTCCAGCATGCTTTTGAAGCCAAGTATCTTCTGACCACACAGGTCTTGTTGAACCCTCCTTGATCCTTTGTGGTGCTGCTACATTGACTCTTATTGTTCTTCCAAATAACTCTGAGTCATTCTGGAATTATTTAAAATTAAACATTAGCTATAAAAGTATTCATTTTTTAGACATCTTCCTCTTATGACAATGACTTATTGATGACTAAGTTTTTCTATTTGTATTATAAAAGACCAGAGTACAGTTTTTTATAATGTTGGAAAATTAATATAAAAAGATGTTAAAACTTTACAGAAATGCATGTTATCATATGATCTATCTGTTAATAAAAAAAGTAAAGCATGTAGTCATAGAAATATAACCAAAACCAAAACTAGTACAGCAAGCAAAGTACCTACCGGTTTTATGAAATAAAAAATAACTTACCATGTTATCAATAGAAGCTGCTGCGTCTTCAGCATTTTCAAATTCTATAAATGCGAAGCCTCTATGTTTCTCAGTCTCATAATCTAATGGTATTTGAACATCAACAAGATCACCAAATGGGACGAATGCCGCATGTAAAACCTTCTCATCTACTTCTTCAGCTAAACCGCCAACATAAATTGTACGCTTAGAATTGGGTTTGCTACTCATTTTGAAGTCTCATAAGTGAGATCCAATTAGCAAGAATACTAAAAATTTAACGAGAAATTCGAAAACAAATATTTCCCCGCTCGGTGTGCAGTTTGTTTCCAGTTTTTACGAATTCAAAACATATCAATTTATATTGACAATTAACAGACGTAACCTCAAAATCCAGCTGTTACGTTCAATTTTGACAGTAATTGTCTCGCACAAATCTGAAATCAGTTATCAGTAATTTCTAAGATTTCATGAGACTTCGTTTAGAATACATTTAAAATAAAAATTATCGTTATATAACTATTTGATGTGGCTGTCGGCCGATATTAATAATAGTTAAATGCATACATTTTTATCGTATTAAGGAGATGGCGCTAGTTTCAATTTCATTGTTTTTTCCTATATAACAACTGATCATTACAGTTATACGAACTGATGTTGTTGTTGTTGCTGCAGTCTATTAAAGTAATTCATCGTATTTGCATCTCGTTTTTATCCTGTTACACCAACATCGTCATATTAGAAGGATCGCATCAACGAGACCAATAACTTTTTATTTTACGATTCACAATAAACGTTTCGAGTATTGACTATTATAAAGTATTATTAATATTTTTATTGTCTTTACTAGTAAGGACCGTAAGCAATTCTTTAGTCACACACGGCGAAAGTGACACACGATACCGTTGACTTTATTTGTTCAGGAATTTAGCTTAGAACTTAATTAATCGTGACTAGAACTTTAACGGAAACGTAGATGAGTTGTAATTACATAGGTGTTATATAAATGTTCTAACTCATTCTACAACTTAGTAACGGACTGGAAGACGTCAAAGATGTTATTAACATGGCAGTCAAAGATGTACCTACTGCATACAATTAAGATAAATATTTTATACGACGAAATATGTTGAATTAGATGTCGATTGTTAATATCTATATAAATTCATAATGATGAGGTTATTTTTAAATCTGCCAAAAAAATATTGCTGTATTGTATTGAGGTAAGTAAAAAATATTTTATTTCGTTGTTTTTATCGTGTTTTACAATAACTTAACCCTAATTAGATAGAAAAAGGCATATATAGATAGACAAAAGGGCTAATCCCTTTACTTAATAATAATAATAATTAATTTACAGAGGCGTCACATATAAATACATGGAGCAGGGTTCCGCATTACTGGGTGGAACAGGCTTAGATGAGGGCACGTAACGCTTGCATAAAGTATGACATATGCTCTTATCTTGAACAGCATCTGCTATGTTTTTTCTGGGGCAGACGCAGGGAGGGAGTTCCATTCATTAGCCGAAGTAAAAATGTAATGTATAATAATAATAGTTTTAATTGTTTTCGATAAGTATATCAAGAAATGTCTTCCATGTTAAAAGAGGAAAATATGTATCGTGATTTGTAACATAGAATTTTGCCAGTGAAAGATAGTACAACATGGCCCTGTGTGCTGCAATTAATATTTATAGAGCGGGTACGCTTCCAGCCGGATAGCACTTTTTTGCCCCAGAATAGACGGCATAGTACAGCTACAGCTTTTTACTTGGAAAAGTAGTTTATTTTCTTCTGCTACGGTATAGTTTATTAAGGAAAACCTTAGACTCATTCCAATAAATAATACATTTTCTTTTTTGCATTTATTGCGCTTTTAGTTCATTTTTGGGTTTCAAAAGTGAAATTCATGGTCCTACCACTTCCGTTGTTTATGGGTTAGTGCAGACGTCATATAATCTGTGGTTGCTGGGTTCCCAGAACACTAATTCATTTGTTTTTTATGTGCAGGAGGCCGGTGATCTTATTGTAATAAAACAGATGAAGATGCGTGTCTGCCCTATATCCCATTGATTAGGGGCTTATATACCGGATTGCACTAACATCGATATTTAAGGCGATGTTATTTTAAAATATCTAGTTGGCGATTGCCGTAATTGTTATAAGGTAAACTATTAAGAAAATACTTTCTTCACAAATGATTTTCATTAATTTATTATTTACCCTATATATAAACATACATTTTATATAGATTGAAGTAGGAGCCACCAAGCTTACATAAACCTAAATCAGTCTTATTTTTACTCTTTGAAGTTCTTGTCTCTTTCTGAAAAATTATGCTTTCGCTGTGATGAAAAGAGACAGATGAGTACTTAAGTTACAGTGAAATTTTACTGATTTATTTTTTATAACAACTCTGCAACAACTTTTCCTAAGCTCTCACAAAAGGAAAAAACTTTATCCGTACTTAGTACTAATACATACGTTCATTGTTGATTCGTAAAGGCCTACAGTGGAATGTTCTCATAGTTGGCAAAGTTCCTTCCAATATGTCCTCTTGACCATTAAACCCGGTATTATGTAATAACTGTTGTCGAATATTACGACTCCATTTATGGCTTCAAATGTATACTTAACCGTTCCTTTACAAAAAGCGAAGATTCCAGTCTCCGTCATTACAGGATGGTATGCACATATCTGCCGATTATATCGAAATCTATTATATGCAAATTTTACTGCCGTGTGTGTTTAAGTCAGACGAGAGAATACTTAATACGCGGGATTTTGCGCTATTTACGTCAATCCTTTATAAGAAAAAAATGCCTTAATTTTTACTGAGTACATATGAAATGAATGTATCTCCTTTATAATTGTCAATACCGGAACCTTAAAAGTACCTATCAGGTTTTCTTCCGTATTGTATATATACTGACATCATCATCATCATAAATGGCTTTACATCACTAGGCCTTCTCAAGAATATGTCGCCATCGCAATCTATTTAGATTCTTGCATCCAACTTGGAACCCCTATTGCGTCGAGGTCCTTGACAACTCCATCCCAACAACGCAGCCTCGGTCAGATTCTGTCCGGCAATCGGTGCACATGTCCCAACCAACCAATGAGTAATATATAGTTAAAAAGAGTGGCGGAGAATTTATAGCCAGTTCTTCTCTTCCGTTCTCCGCCCTTGAGTTTAGAACTGGCAGTAAATGTAAATTAGCAGCATTTAAAATATATATTTCTTTTTCGTCGTTCATTGTGTTACTTATATGATTAAATGATTTTGACTTTATATAGATAGAGAAATATTATTTTAACATGGTATTTCTACAATTTTACGACGTGTGGACTTTCAAATAATAAGTCAATTTTATTTTCCACCTGACCAAAGAGGATGTGAGGAAATATTTGATGAGGCGGGAAGACTGACTCTGTTTAGCAGTAACAATTTAGTTTTTTCTTTGAAATAATAAGTAATAATTGTCGTTTGTTTAATGTTATTTCAGTTTTCTTTTATATATTTTTTATTTTTGTATATCAATGTACTAACTTATGTTTACTGTTTCTGTGTTTTATAATACGTATGCTAGCTATAAGATTACTAATAAATAAATAAACCTTTATTTATCATTAATAAAACTCTGAAGCATCTATTATCAAGTACCTAGGTAAACACTATAAAGGTTGCTTAAAAAGTTTATACGAACACACAGGCTGCAAGTTTAATGGGCAAATATTATGATGAAATAGTTTGTATGAGAAGATTCATTTGATTATTTATAGTTTATGTGAACATTTTTTAAGTTCACAGGCTATAATAGATAAAAAAATTGTTAGAATTTGATTTGATTATTAAATATAGTTGCCCTCGAGAGCGATACATAATATAAAGAATATAGATAATTTTTGAAACCAAAAAAAATTACAGTAGGATGAAACCCATTAGAAAAGCAGGGGAATATGATCAAAATGAAAGGAAAAATAAATTACGGTCGATCTAAGGTCGGGAAGGGGTGGGGGGGAGTTTTAAGGGTAAAAAACGGTTTATCTCGATTTCCGGCAAAACTAAAAGTCCTATCGAAGAAAGTTAAATGGCAAAGTTGTAGGTAATAAAAAGATCTAAAACTTTTGTATTCACACATTTTTCACATAACCTCAAAATTTATGTGAAAAATTCAAAAAACCAAGTTTTTGGTTTTTAATTTTTATCTTTTACAATTTTTTTTTTTTTTTAACGAAATTTGGTGAAAACTAACCTTATTATGTCCCAAATATACTGTAATTTCTTTGATTAAAAATATTTATTTTTTCAGCTTATTTTGAATTAATATCGAAAAAACATCCTAATTTTCAATCGAAAATTCTGACGTCAAAATTTCAGCTTTTTTCAAAAAGTTGGTGTGCTTTCAGTTCGTTGAAATCTCTATTTTCCTATGGTAAAAATATATATATATATATTACCATAGTAAATCTTCTCAGAAAATGCAAAACATCGTATGCAGTAACGCCCAGACCCGTCATACCCTTCCCTACTTAAATTATATATATCGGTGATGAAAATGTCTACCACTAGTATAATTATATACTAGTGGTAGACATTTTCATCACCGACAATTGAGTTTAAGACATTGAACATCATTTCGATCTTATAGAATTTTCGATTTAGCTTAAACCCATTTAATTTTTTTTAAATATAATTCGGGGACGAATCTGCTGGTAAAGCTATACGTGACAACCACAGCGCAAATCCCCCATTTTTTTGTTAAGTGGATAAATGCGTCCCTGAGTTTGAGAGAAGAGTGGTCTTCGTGGTCTTTTTTTGGACCACTGAAAGTTAACACCATCAACAAATGTATACTTTGCCGGACTCATCAGATGTTTTGACAGGTTTTCTATCCGATAAAGAAAACTAAAATTAATATTTGTATCCAGGTTCGCTGCTCTTCAGACCCGTATCTATCAGATGAGGGAGTATAAAACAAGTAAGCAGTCCGTTTGGCTTTACTCTTCGCGCAAGGTCAAGACCGGCCAAGTCATTGCACCACTCTGCGCGTACACGCATAGCTGCGCCCGCGCAGTGCTTTGTTAGAGCTTTTCACAGTAAGTACCGTGTTTTTTTAATCTTCTATGAACTAATCTTAAGTTTAGGAAATTATTAAAATTATTCAAATAAAGATAAATTGTCAATTTCGTCCAGAAAACTTTTATCGTTTTTAAATATTAAAT